AAGGTTGATCGCATGAGGCATGCACGCCATCACCAAGGCTACTTGCAAAAGAGAAGGAGCCAGGCCAGCAAGCACTGCCACGGACACCAGCCAAGAATGCACGGCTGAGAGCCAATCCTCGTGCCTTAGGCAGGAGGCATGTTGATCAGCTGGGGGGGTCGTGGCGACGGGCTGGGTAGTGCCTTGCAAGGGAAATCAGCAACCGCGGAGCCCATGCACACGAAGAAGACGACGAGCTGTGCCGATCGGTGCCGCCTTGCTGCCGGGTGCTCCGATGGGTGCTGGCTCGCTCCCGGGTGCTCCGATGGGTGCTGGCTCGCTCCCGGGTGCTCCGATGGGTGCTGGCCCGCTCCCGGGTGCTCCGATGGGTGCTGGCTCGCTCCCGGGTGCTCCGATGGAAGCTGGCTCGCTCCCGGGTGCTCCGATGGGTGCTGGCTCGCTCCCGGGTGCTCCGATGGAAGATGGCTCGCTCCGGGTGCTCCGATGGGTGCTGGCTCGCTCCCGGGTGCTCCGATGGGTGCTGGCTCGCTCCGGGTGCTCCGATGGGGCTGGGCTCGCTCCCGGGTGCTCCGATGGGTGCTGGCTCGCTCCCGGGTGCTCCGATGGGTGCTGGCTCGCTCCCGGGTGCTCCGATGGGTGCTGGCTCGCTCCCGGGTGCTCCGATGGGTGCTGGCTCGCTCCCGGATGCTCCGATGGGTGCTGGCGCTCCCGGTCTCCGATGGGTGCTGGCTCGCTCCCGGGTGCTCCGATGGGTGCTGGCTCGCTCCCAGGTGCTCCGATGGGTGCTGGCTCGCTCCCGGTGCTCCGATGGGTGCTGGCTCGCTCCGGGTGCTCCGATCGTGCTTGGCTCGCTCCCGGGTGCTCCGATGGTGCTGGCTCGCTCCCGGGTGCTCCGATGGGTGCTGGCTCGCTCCCGGGTGCTCCGATGGGTGCTGGCTCGCTCCCGGGTGCTCCGATGGGTGCTGGCTCGCTCCCCGGTGCTCCGATGGGTGCTGGCTCGCTCCCGGGTGCTCCGATGGGTGCTGGCTCGCTCCCGGGTGCTCCGATGGGGGCTGGCTCGCTCCCGGGTGCTCCGATGGGGTGCTGGCTCGCTCCCGGGTGCTCCGATGGGTGCTGGCTCGCTCCCGGGTGCTCCGATGGGTGCTGGCTCGCTCCCGGGTGCTCCGATGGGTGCTGGCTCGCTCCCGGGTGCTCCGATGGGTGCTGGCTCGCTCCCGGGTGCTCCGATGGGTGCTGGCTCGCTCCCGGGTGCTCCGATGGGGGCTGGCTCGCTCCCGGGTGCTCCGATGGGTGCTGGCTCGCTCCCGGGTGCTCCGATGGGTGCTGGCTCGCTCCCGGGTGCTCCGATGGGTTGCTGGCTCGCTCCCGGGTGCTCCGATGGGTGCTGGCTCGCTCCCGGGTGCTCCGATGGGTGCTGGGCTCGCTCCCGGGTGCTCCGATGGGTGCTGGCTTGCTCCCGGGTGCTCCGATGGGTGCTGGCTCGCTCCCCGGTGCTCCGATGGGTGCTGGCTCGCTCCCGGGTGCTCCGATGGGTGCTGGCTCGCTCCCGGGTGCTCCGATGGGGGCTGGCTCGCTCCCGGGTGCTCCGATGGGTGCTGGCTCGCTCCCGGGTGCTCCGATGGGTGCTGGCTCGCTCCCGGGTGCTCCGATGGGTGCTGGCTCGCTCCCGGGTGCTCCGATGGGTGCTGGCTCGGTCCCGGGTGCTCCGATGGGTGCTGGCCCGCTCCGGGTGCTCCGATGGGTGCTGGCTCGCTCCCGGGTGCTCCGATGGGTGCTGGCTCGCTCCCGGGGTGCTCCTACGGGTGCTGGCTCGCTTCCAGGTGCTCCGACGGATGCTGGCTCGCTCCCGGGTGCTCCGATGGGTGCTGGCTCGCTCCCGGGTGCTCCGATCGGTGCTGGCTCGCTCCCGGGTGCTTCGATCGGTGCTGGCTCGCTCCCGGGTGCTTCGATCGGTGCTGGCTCGCTCCTGGGTGCTTCGATCGGTGCTGGCTCGCTCCCGGGTGCTTCTATCGGTGCCCCTCCCACGGTGCAGGAGAAATCAAGTACCGTGGATCCCCTGAAACCACAGAAAACCAACGCGTTGCACAACTCATATATGCCTTAGAGGCTCTGCAACACTCTTATGCCTATGGCACAGCAGGGTGAGGGTGGGAAGTGGGGGTGGCCAGTGAGGGTGGCGAGTGAGGGTTGCGAGTGACGGTGGCGCAACAGGTGAAGCTAGATGCACACAGAATTCGGGGTTGGAATTGGGTACCTTGTTAGGCCGTGATAACCAAAAGTTCTCGAGCTGTCCCCGGAGTACGCAAAGATGATGTTGGACGGGCCCGCCAGCTTCACTGGCACGTTTCCAGATCCCTCCGTGCGAGTGAATCTGCAGCCAAACAGAAATATTACCATGGGAGATCGATAGGTGGCTATAAGTTCAGTCTAGGACCAGAATGAAAGGTTTAAGAAGGGCACGGGGCACGTCTGCAGCGCACTCACTCGAGGATATAATCGTGATGTTTCAGCTCGCTTGATCGCTGCTCTCGTTACAGTCAACACTCTTGCTACAATCGCCACTCACTCGAGGATAGTCGCGGCGCCTGTCACCGCACGGCCCTTTGCCCCCCCGAGGAAAGAGCTCATTTCCCCAACGCGCTCCTGGCCGCCGGCGGAGGTCGACACGAGCTTATAAGCCGCCGGCAGGCCCGACCCGTTGACCTCTGTGCCGTCCGCCGCCCGTTCCTCGAGATTGCCAACCACCGCGTCGCTGCCGGCCATGTTGCCGTCCGGCGACCACCCCACTGCCGCCCAGCCGGAGGTGTACGTCTCGAGGGCGAGGTGGAGCTCCGTCGAGTTGGGCGTCTTCCAGTGGAGAAAGAGACTGGGGGCGGGCGTATTTTCGAGGGGGCAAGGGGAGAAAACAGAAGAGCATGCAATTTCAGTCGAACGTTCACAAATGCGAGGTAGGTCGAGTGGCGTCCAGCCGACAAAGGTGCATTTCTGCCTAGTAGGGCGCGTGGGCGATCCACGCATTTGAGGTCGCTCGATGCGATTTCTGCAAAGTTTTTCTAGGGAGTAGTTGACGTCAGCAGCTGAGCGCAGCTTTCAGTGAGCGGCGCCGCCACTCTCGGTCGGAATTGAAAGAGAATCGACGGAATGCGACACCAACCAAAAGAGCAATTCAGGGAGAGCGCACCTGTCAGTGAGCTGCACCTCCACGTCGTATCCATGGAGAGTCGATACAACGCAGTTACTCTGCGCCGCCGCACCCGACGCGAAGAGCGCGCCGTAGAAGGCCACGGCGAACAGCACCGCCGCGAAAGCCGGCGCCATGGACGGAAACTTTCCAGCCACGACGATTGCGCGCCGAGTTCGGGTTTCTTACTCGAAGAACCCCTGGGGGTGCAGCTGACGAAGCTCGCGAAGCTAAGCGACGCTCGCGAAGCTAGTAAGCGTAAAGCTGACGTGCGGGAATTCGAAGCAGGCTTGCGAAAGACCCGTTTAGGAGCGTAGCAGCTGCGCGCGGGGATCAGATCTGATGAAGATTACCGAACTCTGATGAGAGTATGTAGTAGGGGTAGGATCTAGTACGTTCAGTAGAGGAGATGTGCTGGAACTGAGAAGGTACCGAAGTATGGGTATGAAGTATGTAGTATATCGTATGGGTACGGTTGAGGATCTAGTAGTACGCTGCTCCGTAGAGGAGATAGTGCAGGAACTGAGAAGGACGTGCTCCTAAATACCCCCAGTACCGAGAGCGGGATTCTCTCGGTAGGAATGCCTACGGGAGTCGCTCAGTGAGCGGGTTGTAGCTAACATTGTCGGGCGTTCGGCATTGCGCACACTTCCTAAAATTACAAGTTAAAACAATTGCGGCTCCAGAAGAGTTCCACCCAATCATGGCTGAACGTCGTCGGGCATTTGGCGCTGCGGCACACTCCATCCCATTTCCCATTGCCCATCCCATCCCATCCCATTCCATTTCCCATTTCCCATTTCCCATTCCAATAATTGCTCGCCCGGTGGAATTCGACGCATTCTTGCTCCAATTTTCCGTGTCGCGGTTCAGGAAGGTTTGCCCAGCGAGGCACGGGGGATTCACAGATGCTCGCGTATGATTGGCTGTAGCGTGGAATGTCAGCTCGGGTCGAACCAGAAATATGCGCTGTTCTGAAATCGGTACGGATACAAGCTTCCAAATCTGTAGTACAGAACAACAGATAACTCTAAACTTTAGCGCGCGCTTTTATGGGCCACAATGACGCAAATAACTTATGGTGCTTGCTCCCTATCCTTTACCAGGCGCAGGCCATCTGTCAGTGGGTTAGCATCAGTTAATTTGAGACTGCTTCCGATTTTAGGTGCGACGCGGATATCTGTCACATCTGTCTCTCCAGACTCCTCCAACTAGCCTGCATCCTGATTGGCTTCCCATCCCGCCAGCCAGCTGTCCTCCCCTTCATCTCCCTCCCCATTTCCTTTTCCTTGACCCCCCTCGCTCTCCTCTCCGTCTTCCCCTTCACCTTCACCACCCTTCGCGGTCCGTTTATCATTCCTACTTGCATCATCCCCAGTCCCTCTCTCATCATTCCCCATCCCTCCCTCGTCATCCACAGTCTTCTCATCATCCTCACTCCCACCACCCTCTTGAGTGGGAGACCCACTGCTCTCACTGCCGACATCAGCCCCATCAGCCCTCAACTCCCCCTCAACACCTCTTCCACTATTTGTTTTGCTGTCACTGCCGACATCAGCCCCACCAGGTCTCGAATCCCCCCCACACCTCCTCCTCCATAACTGCTCTCATTGCCTGCAGCAACTGTAGCAGACTTGTCATCATGCTCTTCTCCTCTACCCTCCCCTTCACTATTGTCACACTCACTGTTATTAACCTCATCTCCCCTACTATCAGCCATACTACCCTCATCTCCGTCATTATTCGCTCTCTCTGCAGGGCCCACATCACCACTTGCACTACCAACCTCAGGTCCTTTGTTACTCAAACCCTCACCATGCTGTCGTGTGTGTCGAGATGAAGTGTCACATTTTGGAGAATTTGTCGATGACGACGAGGATTGCGTCATGACCGCCTGTGATAGTTGGTAACCCGGTTATGAAATCCAGGCGAACCACTTGCCATGGCTTTTCTGGAGAGGAAGAGGCTGTAGCAGTCCTGCCTGTTTCTGCTTGCTGCTCTTCATCCGTTGACATGTCGTACACGAGGTGACAAATTGCTGGACGTTGTCTGCCATGTGGGGCCAGTAGTAGTGCTTTGCAATACCGGTGAGCGTTTTGTTGCTTCTGAAGTGTCCCGCATATAGAACATCGTGGTATTCTTAGAGTAGTAATTGGCGCAAAGGAGGGTAATTGGGTACCCAGATTTCCGTTGATCCCTTCCGCTACGCGATGTCACTGTCCCACTGTAGCACGTGTCGTTTTGCCGCCAAAGGAATTTCGGAGTCGATGGCGTACCCGTGTGTGAAGAGTCCCTCGAGGAGTGGGCTGATCTCTTTGACCTGGATTGTGGCAACGTGTGCAGGCCGACTGAGAGCGTCTGCTTCGTTTTTGTGGCTGGGCTTGTACACGATGTCATACTGGAAGTGTGTCTCAAGGAAGTCGATCCATCGCACCTGCCACCTAGAGATGTTTGGTTGTGTCTTCAAATATTTCAGGCTGCATTGGTCGGTGTAAACGGTTGTTTTCCGTCCTTCGAGAAAACATCTCCACGTTTTGAAGGCGATGATAATAGCAAGGGCCTCCTTGTCGTGTATCGGGTAGTTTAGTTCTGCCCCGTGTAGTTTCTTGCTGAGGTAGGCGATTGGTTGCAGTCCATTCCCCTGGTCTTGCATCAAGAGTGCTCCCACTGCCTAGTCACTAGCGTCAGCTTTGATGACGTAGTCGCGTTCGGGGTCTGGCAAGATGAGTACGACTGCGGATGTGAGTGCTTGTTTCAGCTGCTCCACGACTTTCTGATGTTTTGGTTCCCACTTATAGGGCGTGTTCTTCTTCAGCAGACTCGTGAGTGGTTTTGCGATTTTTGCGTATTGTGGCACGAACCTGTTGTAATAGTTAGCGAAGCCTAGGACCTGCTGCAACTCCTTCACGTTCTTGGGTGTCTTCCACGTACGTACAGCTTTGATCTTCTTGGGGTCGACGTGAACTCCTTGAGCGCTCACCATGTGTCATAGGAATTGGACTTTCTCAAAGGCGAATTCGTTCTTGGATAATTTGACGTAGAATCGTTCTCGTCGAAGAATGTCGAAGACGCGTCGCAGGTGTTGGACGTGCTACTGCATGTCGCGTGAGTATATGAGGATGTCGTCTAGGTAAAGCACCACGCATTCGTCCAAGAGTGGGCGTAGAATATGGTTGATTTCGGCTTGGAATGTTTCCGGTGCGTTGGTGAGTCCGAACGGCATTACCAGATACTCGTACGACCCGTACCGAGTTTGGAAGGCATTTTTATGGATGGAATTGTCCGCCATTTGTACTTGCCAGTACCCGGACCACGGATCTAGTTTGGAAAATACCATGGCTTCCAGAAGCTGGTCAAGCAGGTCATCGATTCGAGGGATTGGGTATTTGTTCTTGATGGTCTGCTTGTTGAGAGCTCGGTAATCGATGCACATGCGCAGGCTTCCGTCTGGTTTCGGTGTGAAGAGTACTGGGGCACTGTAGGGCGAAGTGGCTGGTCGGATGAGTCCTTTTGCGAGGAGATACTCGATCCATTTCTTCATGTCGACTAGCTCCATGGGGCTGAGCTGATATGGTGTTCGGAAGGTCGGCTTCGAACATGGTACTTCCACGATCTCGTATTGGCGCGTTCGGTATGGTGGCAGCTCGTTCGGAAGGTCGTCGGGAAGAATGTCTTGGAACTCCTTCAATAATTCCTTCATTTTTTGTGGAGGTTCCGAGTTTTCTCCCCGTCATTTTCCACCTCTGTTGCTATCGCCAGGAACCCGGTGTCGGTTCGCTTTACGTCCTTCTCGAATCGTACGAGTGTCTCCACCAGGATATCTCCCGTATCGTCCCAGTTGGGTAGCTGGACTCTCCTTCTATTGTTGTAGATGCTTGTGGTACCCCGTTGATCTCGGGGTTGTTTTTTTTTAGGAAGTCTCGCCCGAAGGTCAAGTCAAGCCCTCTTACAGTGGCGAAAACAATTGTCCGTGTGTTTTGCATAAATTTGGGTTTTTAGGCTTTAAGACCACTATACATTACGCCTTAATGTTTAATGGTGGTACGATTTGGGAGGGGCACATAGTGGATGTTTTCATAGCACAAGTATCAAGAATTGTACATTAGATCTACCTTATATGCCAAAAGATATAAAAGGGTACATCCGGACAAATAGTTCCAAGCCGAGAGAGCAAACTTCAAAAGTCATTTCTAGTTCCTAGCCCACCGACCTTTGGCCTTGATCACCGCCCGCACCCTCCTAGGCGAGCTGTCGATGAGGCTAGAGCAAACCTCGGCATGGATCTTCTCCCATTCGTCCCGGACCAACTCTTAGAGCTCTAGCATTTCAGAGGAAGGCCTTTTCTGGTTGGCTAGCTCCCTTTTCAGGTAAGCCCCAGAGGTTGAGGTTTGGTGAAAAAGAAGGCCACTCCAGGGCTACATACTCATGTTCTCCAAGTCATTCATGCACTAGGCATAACAAATTCTTGGGGTCATTGTCCACACCGAGATGACCTCAGAGGAGAAAATGCTATAGAAATGGAGGTTCAATTCGAGTTCGTCATGCAAAATGCCCTCATACAGGGGCCTCTCCATGCATCCGTCAATCTTGCATATGAACCCCACCCCGCACATGTCACACATCCCCACACCATCACCGATCCTTGTCCCCATGGTTTACCGTCTGTTTGATTTGGTGGTGTTGCAGGGTTGTGCCTTCACAAATCCAGGCAAACGCGCGGCCATTGGAGCTGAAGCAATTGATGTTGGTCCCATTTGACCATATCACATGCTTTCGAACACTAATTGTCCACTCCACGAATTGCAGCCGACCCCTGATTATTTTCCAGA